GGGTGGAAATAATACCATGCATTTTATCTGATCATAATGGAATAAAACTGGAAATCAATGATAAAAGAAGGAAGGAAAAATCCTACATCACATGGAAAATGAACAATATGTTACTGAATGATCAATGGGTTACAGAAGACATAAAGGAGGAAATCAAAAAATTCTTAGAGATAAATGAAAATACAGACACAACATATCGGAATCTATGGGACACAATGAAAGCAGTTTTAAGAGGAAAATTCATCGCCTGGAGATCATTCCTCAAAAACAGAAAAAAACAACAAATAAATGAGCTCACACTTCATCTCAAAGCCCTAGAAAAGGAAGAGCAAAACAACAGCAAATATAGCAGAAGGCAAGAAATAATTAAAATCAGAGCGGAAATCAACGAAATTGAAACAAAAGAAACTATTGAAAAAATTGACAAAACTAAAAGTTGGTTTTTCGAAAAAATAAATAAGATCAACAGACCCTTAGCCATGCTAACGAAGAGAAGAGAGAGAACTCAAATTACTAACATACGGGATGAAAAAGGAAACATCACAACAGATGCTACAGAAATACAGAAGACAATTAGAAATTATTTTGAAACCTTATATTCCAATAAAATAGAAGATAGTGAAGACATCAATAAATTTCTTAAGTCATATGATTTGCCCAGACTGAGTCAGGAGGATACGCACAATTTGAACAGACCAATATCAATGGATGAAATAGAGGAAGCAATTAAAAGACTACCAACCAAGAAAAGCCCAGGACTGGATGGGTATACAGCGGAGTTTTACAAAACCTTTAAAGAAGAATTAATACCAATACTTTTCAAGTTATTTCAGGAAATAGAAAAAGAGGGAGCTCTTCCAAATTCATTCTATGAGGCCAACATCACCCTGATTCCAAAACCAGACAAAGACACCTCAAAGAAAGAGAACTACAGACCAATATCTCTAATGAACCTAGATGCAAAAATCCTCAATAAAATTCTGGCAAATTAGTTACAAAAACACATCAAAAAAATTGTGCACCATGATTAAGTAGGATTCATCCCTGGGATGCAAGGATGGTTCAATATACAGAAATCAATAAATGTTATTCACCACATCAATAGACTTAAAGATAAGAACCATATGATCATCTTGATAGACGCAGAAAAAGCATTCAACAAAGTACAGCATCCCTTTATGTTCAAAACATTAGAAAAACTAGGGATAACAGGAACTTACCTCAACATTGTAAAAGCTATCTATGCTAAGCCTCAGGCTAGCATCATTCTGAATGGAGAAAAATTGAAGGCATTCCCTCTAAAATCTGGAACAAGACAGGAATGCCCTCTATCACCACTTCTATTCAATATAGTTCTCGAAACACTGGCCAGAGCAATTAGACAGATGAAAGAAATTAAAGGCATAAAAATAGGAAAAGAAGAACTTAAATCATCACTATTTGCTGACGACATGATTCTATACCTAGAAGACCCAAAAGGGTCTACAAAAAAACTACTAGAACTAATAAATGAATTCAGCAAAGTGGCAGGATATAAAATCAACACGCATAAATCAAAGGCATTTCTGTATATCAGCGACAAAACTTCCGAAACAGAAATGAGGAAAAACACTCCATTCACAATATCCTCAAAAAAAATAAAATACTTGGGAATCAACCTAACAAAAGAGGTGAAAGATTTATACAATGAAAACTACAGAACCCTAAAGAGAGAAATAGAAGAAGATCTTAGAAGATGGAAAAATATACCCTGTTCATGGATAGGCAGAACTAACATCATCAAAATGGCGATATTACCAAAAGTTCTCTATAGGTTTAATGCAATGCCAATCAAAATCCCAATGGCATTTCTTGTTGAAATAGATAAAGCAATCATGAAATTTATATGGAAAAATAAAAGACCCAGAATAGCAAAAGCAACTCTAAGCAGGAAGTGTGAATCAGGCGGTATAGCGATACCAGATTTCAAACTATACTACAGAGCAATAGTAACAAAAACAGCATGGTACTGGTACCAAAACAGGCGGGTGGACCAATGGTACAGAATAGAGGACACAGAGACTAATCCACAAAGTTACAACTATCTTATATTTGATAAAGGGGCTAAAAGCACGCAATGGAGGAAGGATAGCATCTTCAACAAATGGTGCTGGGAAAACTGGAAATCCATATGCAACAAAATGAAACTGAATCCCCTTCTCTCACCATGCACAAAAGTTAACTCAAAATGGATCAAGGAGCTTGATATCAAATCAGAGACTCTGCGTCTGATAGAAGAAAAAGTTGGCTCCGATCTACATATTGTGGGGTCGGGCTCCAAATTCCTTAATAGGACACCCATAGCACAACAAGAATAAACAAATGGGACTTACTTAAACTAAAAAGTTTTTTCTCAGCAAGAGAAACAATAAGAGAGGTAAATAGGGAGCCTACATCCTGGGAACAAATTTTTACTCCTCACATTTCAGATAAAGCCCTAATATCCAGAGTATACAAAGAACTCAAAAAATTAAACAATAAGAAAACAAATAACCCAATCAACAAATGGTCCAAGGACCTGAACAGACACTTCTCAGAGGAGGACATACAATCAATCAACAAGTACATGAAAAAATGCTCACCATCTCTAGCAGTCAGAGAAATGCAAATCAAAACCACCCTAAGATACCATCTCACTCCAGTAAGATTGGCAGTCATTATGAAGTCAAACAACAAGTGCTGGCGAGGATGTGGGGAAAAGGGTACACTTGTACATTGCTGGTGGGGCTGCAAATTGGTGCGGCCAATTTGGAAAGCAGTATGGAGATTCCTTGGAAAGCTGGGAATGGAACCACCATTTGACCTAGCTATTCCCCTTCTTGGACTATTCCCTAAAGACCTTAAAGGAGCATGCTACAGGGACACTGCTACATCGATGTTCATAGCAGCACAGTTCACAATAGCAAGACTGTGGAACCAACCTAGATGCCCTTCAATAGACGAATGGATAAAAAAAAATGTGGCATTTATACACAATGGAGTATTACTCTGCATTAAAAAATGACAAAATCATAGAATTTACAGGGAAATGGATGGCATTAGAGCAGATTATGCTAAGTGAAGCTAGCCAATCCCTAAAAAACAAATGCCAAATGTCTTCTTTGATATAAGGAGAGTAACTAAGAACAGTGTAGGGACGAAGAACAGGAGAAGAAGATTAACATTTAACAGGGATGAGAGGTTGGAGGGAAAGGGAGAGAGAAGGAAAATTGCATGGTAATGGAAGGAGACCCTCAGGGTTATACAGTGGAGGAGGTAGAGAGAGAGGAGGGGAGGGGAGGGGAGAGGTGGGGAGGGGGGAGGGTGGAGGATGGGAAAGGCAGTGGAGCACAACAGACACTAGTATGGCAATTTGTAAATCAATGGATGTGTAACTGATGTGATTCTGCAATCTGTGTATGGGGTGAAGGTGGGAGTTCATAACCCACTTGAATCAAAGTGTGGAATATGATATGTCAAGAAATTTGTAATGTTTTGAACAACCCACAATAAAAAATTTTAAAAAAAAATGTGGCATTTGTACACAATGGAGTATTACTCTGCACTAAAAAATGACAAAATCATGGAATTTGCAGGGAAATGGATGGCACTAGAGCAGATTATGCTAAGTGAAGCTAGCCAATCCCTTAAAAACAAATGCCAAATGTCATCTTTGATATAAGGAGAGCACTAAGAACAGAATAGGGGGGAAGAGCATGAGAAGAAGATCACCATTAAACAGGGATGAGAGGTGGGAGGGAAAGAGAGAGAGAAGGGAAATTGCAGGGTAAAGGAAGGAGACCCTCATTGTAATACAAAATTACATATAAGAGGAAGTGAGGAGAAAGGGGAAAAAAAACAAGAGAGAGAAATGAATTACAGTAGATGGGGTAGAGAGAGAAGATGGGAGGGGAGGGGAGGGGAGGGGGGATAGTAGAGGATAGGAAAGGCAGCAGAATACAACAGATACTAGTATGGCAGTATGTAAAAAGTAGATGTGTAACTGATGTGAATCAGCAATATGTATACGGGGTAAAAATGGGAGTTCATAATCTGCTTGAATCAAATGTATGAAATATGAAATGTCAAGAGCTTTGTAATGTTTTGGACAACTAATAATAAAAAAAGCCCCCCCCCCAAAAAAAAGGGCACTGATTTTGTCCTTACTATCTCACTCCATTACACATTCAGGTCACAATTTCACAGCAAGAGAACTTCTCAGAGGGCCCAGTCAGGCACTGTGCTAGGGGACAGAGAGGCACCCTGCCCTGGAGGCTTCAGAGGCTACCTAGGGAGACAGACATGAGATCCAGGACTCTCCCTCCACAAGATGAGCAATACTGTCCCAAAATTGAGTGCACAGTGGTGGCCTGCGAACCATATTTTTCTCTTAATAATTTTTAAATAGAAATGATGTTTGATCTTTATAATCGTTTAAGTAGTAAAAATCTGAAGAACAAAGTAATAAAAGACCTCAAGACCTAAACCCAGAAAGGACCAGAGTAAAGTTTTAAAGTGCAACTTGATTGGAATTTTACAAGAGAAAAAGAAACTGCTGATAAAATAAAGGAATTTGTGCGGGGTGGAGGATAAAAAAAAAAAAGAATAGAAGTAAAATCACAAGAGTAAACAAGGGGAACAAAGAGAAGGGAGGAGAAATGGGAGAGGGAAAGTCAGTCAGTGAGTGAATCTGACCTGACTTTCCTATGTTCATATATGAATGTACCACAGTGAATCTCACCATCATGTTCATCACAAGACTCTAATTTTTAAAAAACTGCATATACATATATATATATTATATAATAGATGTATATATGTTACATATATATATTATTTTTTACAGACACAGACTGAGAGTTAAGGATACACCTTAAAAAAAACTTTTCTTGAAATCAACTATATGGGGGCTAGGGATGTGGCTCAAGCGGTAGCGCGCTCGCCTGGCATGTGTGCGGCCCGGGTTCGATCCTCAGCACCACATACAAACAAAGATGTTGTGTCCGCCGAAAACTAAAAAATAAAAATAAAAATAAATTAAAAAAAATAAATCAACTATATGTTGTTTATAATGATTAGGTTGTTGGATATATTTTACTAAGTGGATTTTCACTTTATTGTCATTATTTTCATTAAACTTAAAAATTCTTAATTAAAAAAAAAAAGATTATTTCCTGGGACAGTAATGAATGACAGTGAGATAGAGACTTTTCGTAGCCTTAGAACTACAAGAAGAGATTTCAACAGCATAATATAAATGAGAATATTTCTGGCCAACCCTCTTCTGCTTAAATTTCCTTGATTTCGTCATTATTTTCCAAACCTAGTTCTCTAGATTTCTTGGATTCAGTAGGCTAGTTATAAATTTCCCCTTTTAAAGAAAATACCCAGATCAAGTTCTATTGTTTGCAACAAGGACTGTTGAATATACTGGGCACAGTAGCACACGCCTGTAATCCCAGCAGCTCGGGGGCGCTGAGGCAGGAGGATTGCAAGTTCAAAGCCAGCCTCAGCAATTTAACAAGGCCCCAAGCAACCTCAGTGAGACCCTGTCTCTAAATAAAATACTAAAAAGAGCTGGGGATGTGGCTCAGTGGTTAAGCACCCTGGGTTTAATCACTGGTAGCAAAAAAAAAAAAAAGATCGTTGAATAGTACAACATACAAAATATATACCACAAGGTCTTGTAGAGGCACATCAAGGATTTTCCTTTCCTCCTTCCTCTCTTTCCTAGTTACATTACAAGTCCTTTAGAGGTTTCTTTCTCTTCATTAGCACCCTCTAAAAGGCTATTTAGCATGATACCTTGTACAAACAAGGCATTCAATGCCTCTTGTCTGAAATACACAATTAGTAAAATGGAATTCATTGCTGGTTTCTCAAACTTTCTACACCTTACAAAAATATAAAAAGGGCCTAGCAAGCAAATTGAAAACAGAGTTGGTGATATAGTTCTGGCCAACTTCTTTGGTTACAATCATTTATATGCTTAGATAATAGGAAGAATCACATATGTTTATTTTTACCAAATAAACAGCTTTTAAATTTCTTAATGGGGGGGGGGGGGTTGGTTGTGAAAAGGCCCAGAGGACCAAGGGACAATAAGTCAGGTGTACATCGAATGCAGGACACTGCCAGCCATGTAGCTAAACCCAGCGCCCGGTGCCTGCAGTGGGAGATGTCCCAGAATTATGTGTTTAAAGGAGAAAGCAAAGGTAGGCAGGGGAAGCATCAAGGAGAGGGGCCAGGAAGGGACGCCAATGGGAGAAGGGATGACAATGAGAGCAGTTCATTAAGCCTATAAGTATGAGCTAATGAGACCGATGTCATAATAATAATACAATAGCCCTCATTTAATAAGATCTCATATATGCTAAGTCTTAAGCCAAGCATTCTTCATCATAGGTCCAATTAATCTTCACAACAGCATTACATAAGAATTATTATTATTATTATTATTATTATTATTATTATTATTACAGTCATTTTATATCCAAGAAAAAACCTAGAAAGAGTAGATGACCTGCCAAGATTCACCAGTTGGCAATTAACAATCTGAACCCAGATGGACACTGTTCAAGTCGTGCTTCTGTCCTCCCTAAGAGGACAGGTTCTTGTGTTAGCAACATGATTACAATAGCACACAGTCCCCAAGCCCCATAAGAGGGCTTTGCTCCCTGCTGGGTATGGTGGTGCAAGCCTGTAATCCCAGAGGCTCAGGAGGCTGAGGCAGGAAGATTAGAAGTTCAAAGCCAGCCTCAACAATTTAGCAAGGCCCTAAAGCAATTTAGCAAGACCCTATCTCAAAATAAAATATTTTTTTTAAAAGGCCTGGGGATGTGACTCAGTTATTAAGTGCCCCTGGGTTCGTTCATTTAATTCCCTGTACCAAAAAAAAAAGGAACTAACCTTTCTTCTTTATAGTCACATAACATGCAAAACCTAAAATCATTAGAAGTGGCTACAAAGAAACACTAGAACATCCGGGTTTAAAACACACGCTTTCCCAAAGAGTGAGTGTTCTTCGACTGTTTTGATTAATCTTCTAGACACCTGTTTGGGGGTTTGTTTGTTTTTGTTTTGCTTTTGTACTGGGAATTGAACCCAGGGGGTGCTTTAGCACCAAGCTACCTCCCTGGCCCTTTTCATTTTTTATTTTAAGACTTTGTTTTAACGCATTGACTAGACAGATAATTTGTGCCATGGGGACAGACAGGAGGGCAGGATGATGGAGGGACAACAGCCTCAGCGTAGGACCCCTCTGAGGAGGTTGTTCCCCCAGGGGTGGGGCAGAAGAGAATGGCAGGGCCAGAAGGAAGCTTACTTACCTGCAGCAGGTGGGGCAGGTAAAGGAAGTGAGGCCCTGGAACTATGACACACAGGGGCAGGCGCTTTGAACATTTTGTTTTTCTTGTTTACACAGTAGTCAGGGCTCTGCGATTTGTTCCATCTGCCCTTTCCTTATCACCTTCCAGTTCCTGGTTCACGTACTATCCCTCATTGGTTACAATGGCTCAGGCTGTTGGCGCCAGCCACTGACCACCCGTGCAATAGATCTTGTGAGAAGTCCCAGTTCTTACCCAGACCTGATCCAAAGGAGATGTGAGGCAGAGACCCGGGTTCCTGACAGGCACGGTGGCACACGCCTGTATCCCAGCAGCTCAGGAGGCTAAGTCCATTTCAAGACCTGCCTCAGTAACTTAGCAAGACCTGTCTCAAAATAAAAAGTAAAAAGGGCTGGGGATGTAGCACAGTGGTAAAGCGCCCCTGGGATCAATGCCCAGTACAAAAAAAAAAAAAAAAAAAGGAAGAAGGAAAGAGAGAGAGACCCAGAACCAGCTAGAACCAGCCGTGGCCAAGTCATCTCTGTTTCCTTCCAGGTCAGGCTCCTGGGAGGGAAGGCTGTGGCCGAGTGCCCTGGAGAGCCTGGCTGTCAGTCATGTCCCCGCCCTGGACAGCCTGGAGCATGGAAGGGCAGGTTGTCTTAGGGAAGCAGAGGACCCTGATGACCCCTGGGAGGGGACAGGAGAGAGGCGTGGTAACCGTCCGTCTGGGGATCTGCCTGCTTAGGGAAAGCGGGGCCAGACAGGCTCTTCACATCCTCACAGCTGTCTCAGAGGCCCCCTTCTCACTGGGATTCCTTCCTAAGATGCAGCACTTTTGGAGATGAGAAGGTTCTCCCTTTGAACAATCTCCAAAGCTTGGGACCCTTCAGGTAGATCCTGGGGGGGAACCATCTGTCCTCAGAGATGGGCCTGGGACCGGTCTGCAGAAGAGCCCTGCTAGCAGGAGGTAGTCAGCAGCCAGGTGCCTCTGACACAGGCCTTGAGGGAGCAGGGGTGGAAGAAATGACCTCCTGTGGCCCTGACAACCCAGACTCACCTCTGTTTGGGGGGGTAGCACCCAGAGCAGAGATTGTCAAAGCATGAAACACAGACCAGAGCTGTCAACATCACCTGGAAAGCTATTTTTAAAGCCTGTTCCTCTGTACCTTTCACCCCCACACACGGAAGCAGGTGCCAGAGACACACACTTCTCTCTAAAAGCACCTCCCAGTACTCTGTCTCCACGAAAAAGCACCATGACCCCGGAGGCTTATAAAACTCTAAGTGTCTCAGAACCCAGGGTGGACAATCTCATCCCCAACTCTCCTCCCCATTTCTAATCACATGCAAGCCTGCCCAGGGAACGGTGGGCTGAGGACGGTTTCCTTCTGTCTTATGAAGATCAGCAGCATTTCCTGTGCCCTGTGCCTCATTAGCACGTCGGTGATGTTGCTTCCTGTGGCTGACTCTGTGTTTCCATCTGGCAAAGTGGTTTGCTGTTTTTGCTCTGAGGTTCTGGCGGGTGGAGGATGACGCGTTTCTCACGGAGCCTTTCCTGGGCCTCTTGGCAGTTCCTCCCTCGGAGCCCCTCATGTTTGTACCAGAAGGCAGGGGCCGGACGTTCTTCCTGAGTGGCCTCACGCTGGGAACACCAGCGCCGGGATGAGAGCTCACCTCCACCTGCCCCAGGTAGAACCAAACCTGTTGTTTTTGTAGGTTGAATCTACTCAGCCTGGCATTTCAGGGAGTCTTTTGGGGGGGAAAGAAAGTTCTAGAATAGAAGATTGGAAACTTAAGAAAGAAAATCCAGAGACTTTTTTTTTTTTTAATGGCAAAGAATTTTGATGAATAAAGACTTAGGAAGAGGAAAGCTTGAGAGTAAATTTGTGTATTGGGGAACGTTTGGAGGACACAGAGATTAGGATTTCTGTCATTCTTATATTTTCTAAAAATACACGGAGTGGTTAGATTCAAAACACGAACCAGTTCGCCTCTTCTCCTGGGAGTCAGCAATTTAGGACTAGGAGCAGACATGCTGGCTAGCTTGTTATGACTGAGGAAAGGCACAGGCTTCGAAGCCAGAGAGCACCTCAGAGGCTCTCCCAGGATGGATGTCACCAACTCAACCCTACGGGATAGCAAGAGTACCTTGCAGCCCAGCACTCCACGAGTGATTCTCGGCAGCCAGGAAAGGTGAGTGATCTGGGGTGGTGAACTCCATTTTCCCCTGCTTTAGTCAGAAGCCTTGTCCACTCCAAGGATCCTTTAACCCAGCAGTGCTGTTGCTCCTCACGATCAGGCTCAGGTCCACTAAGAACACCAAGCTTAAGCTCAGCAACATTTGCTCGGAGTTGGGGGAAGGAAAAAAAGGAGATGTTGGGGGTGAAGAAAAATTGTTGGTTGGATTTCCTGGCCTGGTTGGATCTTTCTTCTCTCTGAGACCCTGATCTCTGTCCCCAATCTATAGAAACAAAAGGCCCATTGTCCCAAGGATGTGTTTTTAGATCCTACAACCTAACCACACATAGAAAATGTAATAATGGATGTAATAGAGATATGTCTTTAGAGTATAAAAACTCACAGAACTAACTGCAGTTGTAAATTCATTGCTAATGCTTTCAGTCCCATACAAACAAAAATAAAAGGTCCATCAGGAGTTGAAACTTTAGCAACTCTGATAGATATAAATTTCAGTGCTATGATAAAAATAAAAACCCAGGATCATAAATTTTAAAATTGCTTAGATTGGGGAAACAAATATTATTATCAGAACCAAAACCTGTCTCTTACAGGTGAACATGGGCCTTGATGAGGAATGAATTTATAAAAGTTGTCATAAGGCTGAAGCACTCCTCCAAAACGACTTCTTTTTTAATTTAGTTTTTATTTTTTAATCAACAAATACAAATTGTGTCTATTTATTGTGTACAACATGTTGATCTAAAATATGTATTCATTGTGGGATGGCTAAATCGAGCTAAATGGAGGCCCTATTTCACATACTGTTTCTTTTTGTGTATCTGTGATAATACTTGAAACCCACTCAAAGTAATGTTCAAGGGTACAATACATTATTTTTAACAATGCCATGTTATATGATAGAGCTCTTGAACTTATTCCTTCAATCTAAATGAAATTTTGTATCCTTTGATCAACATCTCCACAGCCCCTGCTTCTATGAGTCCAACTTTTTTAGATTCCACATATAAGTGAGATCTTTCTGTGTCTGACTTATTCCACTTAACCTAATAACCTTCTGGTTCATCCACATAGTCACAAAGATTTTCTCCCTTTCTAAGACTGAGTAGTAGCCATGGTGTATATATATATCACATTCCCTTTCTCCATTCATCTGCTGATGTGCACTTAGATTGATTCCAAATCTTGGCTATTGGGATAATGCTGCAGTGAACGTGGGATTGTGGACACCTCTCAATAAACGTGGGAGTGCAGCTGTACTGACTTCATTTACTTTGGGTCTATACCCAGTAATGGGATTGGTGAATCATGGGGTCGCTCTCTTTTTAATTTTTTGAAGAACTTTCATACTGTTTTCCATAATGGCGGTACTACCCTCAAAACGTTTTCTATTCATTTGTTTATCATTTCACTCACTCCTTCACTTAATAAATATTCATCAGGCTCCTGCTCGGTACTAGGCACTGTTGAAGGCACCAGGTGACCAGGACAGACAAGTCCATGACCTCCTGAAGCTTAGAGTGTCAGATGAAAACCAGATAAACAAGTGAATGTTTAATATAATCTCAACCTGTCGTAAATGCTTTGAAGGACAAAATAGAACAGAGTAAGGAGATTTCAAGTAAAAGTGTGGCCAGGAAAGACTGAGGAGTTCACATGTCAGAAGAGACTTGGGTGAAGTGAGGGACTAAGCCATGCAGAGAGCTGGGAGAGGGAGAGAGAGATCTGAGACAGTCCTCTGCCTTGCATAGGAAGGAACAGCAAGGAGCCCTGGAGGTCAAGATCAGAGGAAAGGTAGTAGGATCAGAGGGTAGGCAGAGGCAAGATTATATGGAGCCATAAAATCCTTACTGGGCAGGGACTGTAGCCTTTCTTCCAAGGGTGACAGGAAGCCACGGAGGGCTACAAGCAGAGAAGGAACCCAGTCTGCCTTATTGTTTGCAATGATCATGCCGGCTCCTGTGGGGAAGATGGATGTGGGCCAAGAGGAAAACCAGAGCAGCCATTAGGAAGGTTATTGCAAAGTTCCATGTGGAACTCATGCTGGCTGGGACCAGGGTGGAGGCAGGAGAGGAATAAGAGGTAACTGGGTTTGGGGTAGAGGCCCATGCCCAGGGTAAAGCAGACAGAATGTGCTGGTTAACTAGAAGGAGGGCATAAAGAAAACGATCAGTCAAGGATGGCACCAAGGAGCCAGACACAGTGGCACACGCCTGTAATCCCAGTGGCTCAGGAAGCTGAGGTAGGAGGATTGTGAGTTCAAAGTCAGCCTCAGCAATGGTGAGGCCCTAAGCAACTCAATGAGACCTTGTCTTTAAATAAAATACAAAATGGAAATGTGGCTCAGTGGTTAAGTGCCCCTGTATTAAAAAAAAAAAAAAGTCACCAAGGTTTCTGACCATGCCAGTAGATGAGAAATACCAAAGGAGGAGGAGCAAGTAGCTAGCACTGTGATGGGGGTCGGGGACAGGAGCGTGGGGCAAGGGAAGAAAAGAAAGGTGGATTATTAGCTTAGAATTTGGAGGACAGAAACCTTTCCTGGTAGTAATCTGGTTTCTAATGTTCGGGGGTGGCAGTTCAGTTACTGATTCCTGTAACCTCCACTGGCTGCTTCCTGTTTCAGTAGGTACAGCCGCCTGGGGTTGCACTCATCTGAATGCATTTCAACACCCAAGCAAACAGAGGGTGACTCGGGCCCTGCCAGGGAATTGCAAGGTAGCACAGAACTTGCATTGGATCGATTCTACACAACAGTCGGGTGTTGCCTGGAGACCAGCTCCACAAGTTGGGGGTTACTCAAGTTCATACAAGTTGGACTCTGTCACAGAGCCACTCCCTAATTGTGAGTTGGGTAATCTTCTCCTCCAAGCAAGCCAGGAATCCCAGGAGTGGGAATGAGGAGAAACAGGGGCAGAGGGATTTGATTTTGCAAGTTTGGAGGACAGTGTGACAGAGCTGAAAGAGCAAGATCTTTGAACCCTAGCAGACCTAGACTCACATTGCACCTCTGTGCCTTCCTACCTATGTAATCGCGGACAAGGTACCTTTCCTGAGTCTAAATCTCAGGATCCTTGGCCCCAAAGCAAGATAGGGTTGTTCTAAAGACTAAATAAGTTGCACATGCAATCCTCTAGCACTTGGTAGGCATTCTAAAGGGATGGTTCTCGTCTGCCATGTCCAAGTCCCCTCTCCTTGTAGTCGCTATTCAGAGATGACCCTCTCTTCTGCCCCTTGGTGTATTCCACCTCAGCTTTCCTTGCTTGGGCTCCTGTTCCAAATCTTTGAGCTCTAACTCCTGAAGGAAACATTTTCTCCACCCACCTCCCCACCATCCCACAGCCAGCCGGAGCATGGCACTTGGTTTTCCTCCTAGAGATAACGACAAGAGCAGCATCATCTTTTCTGGGTTAGTGGGACTCCTGGCTGTCCTCCTGCTCATCACAGTGGCCTGCATCCTGTGGAACTGGAACAAACGGAAGAAGCGTGAGTCCTTGTATATCCTGAGTTGAGACATAGTAGGGCTAATCCTCCAGCCTGGCATGGCACTGAGGAGTCCTCTGCCCTTACCTGGCACACTGGTCCTCAATTGCAGTGCACTGGGATCAGAAGAACGTGGCTCAAGTGCCCCTGCAGCCAGTTTCACCCTCGTCCTGCCTCTGTCCATGAGTCCCCTATTCCTTTAGTTCAAAAGGCACTGGAGGACAGTGTGGCAGAATTTCAAATGGAAATTCTGGCTCAAGTCTAAAAAGATAATTGATTTTATGCTACCAGGTAGGGGTGGGGAACATTTCCAGGGAGCATCTTGTCCCCAAGAGTCCTCACAGTTGACCCGTGCCATGATCCCCATCTCTCTCACTGCTTGCTTTGCAGGGCGGGTTCCTTACCTCCCAGTGACTGCCATGCCCTCATTGACTCTGCCTCGACCCAGACCACGAGCCAAAAATATTTATGATCTCTTGCCTCAGCGGCAAGAAGAGCTGGGTAAGTTTTTCCTTCTGATCTGTGCAGTCCTGATATCTGAACTTCAGCTCCCAGAATGCACCTCTCTCCTCCTGGAAGCAACTTGTTCCAAGCTTCCAGAGAGCTCTTCAGAGAGCACTGAGAAGAAGGAGCTAGGTAGACTGTAAGCTGCACCTCCAGGGGAGGCCGGGAGAGCTCTAAAAAGGAAGCAAGGATCATCCTGGCTTGGGGTTTGGGCTTTTCTTGACATTAAGGCAGCAGATGAGAGCCGCATGTGTCCAGGTGTGGGGAGGACCTGCCTAGGGAGACCCTGGAGCCAGCATCTCTGGTAGCGATGGGGGAGTGCTCTGCAGGAGCTTCCAAGGAGGCCTCCAAGTCTCAGAGCACAGAAGCCTAGCAGGTTGGATCCTGTCATCACAGAACACCAGGCTCCGTCTGGAAATACCAGGTCCCACACAAACCCAGCTCAGCCACCACGCAGGGATAGTTTGGGCTGAAGCACACAGAAGACTGACTATCTTCAGGTTTCATTCTCTGTCATTTCAGGGAGACATCAGCCAAGGAATATCCGCATGTTCAGTGCCGAGAGCCTCCTGTCCAGAAATTCCGACAGCCCGGAGCATATGGTAAGAGTCAAGTGAAGGATTGGGGTGTAGCTCAGTGACAAGGCACCTTCTGAGCATGTGGGAAGCCCTGATTTTATCCCCAGCACTGGGGAAAAAAAAAAAAAGTCAAGTGAAAAGACAAGCCCCCGGAGAGAATGACAGGTCTCTGGCCGAAGAACTGAAGGGAATGAGTCGTAGGTCTCGGATCTGGTTTCACGACAAACAGCATGTCCTCTGGCCCTCACCTTGCAGGCCTATTAATAAATTGAGATGACCAGCTGCAGACCTCCCTACTGCCCAAGGAGAAAAATTAAGAAAGACAGGAGCAAGTGCTTGGGGTTTTAAGAAAGGCAAAAGTATTCAAGTACATAATGTGGAACTGAAATTGACTATTTTAACAAAAATGTGATAATGTGCTTATCCAAATGAGAGTCAGAGGTGGGTGTCATTTTGAGTACTGATGACGCTGTTGATACTCAAGACACTTAAAACCCAGCTCTGGGAGTTACTTCTAGGGTTTGTGTCAAATTGTCTCCATGATCCTCAACGCAAAAATCTCCATAAATCATTCATTCAGCCCTGAAGCCCTTGTTGAAAGTATTTGATCAAATGAAGGAGTCTTGGTCCATTTGGGGTAAATTTTTTTTTAATTTAATTTTTTTTTTAGTTGTAGATGGAAAGAATGCCTTTATTTTATTTATTTTTTCATTTGGTGCTGAGGATCGAACCCAGTGCCTCACGCATGTGAGGCAAGAGTTCTGCCACTGAGCTACAGCCCCAGCCCCATTTAGGGTAACTTCTAATGGATAGAAGTTTATTTGTTTTGCCCTTCTGGAGACTGCAAAGTCCAAAATCAAGGGACTGCATCTGGTGAGGGCCTTCTTGCTTGTTATAACATGATGAGGGAAAGAAAAGAGAGAGAAGAGGGAAGTATTCATCCTTTTATCAGGAACCTGCTTCTGTGATAACTAACTAGTGATAACTAACTGCCACGACAACAGCATTAATCACCTCTTAAAGGTCCCACCTCTCAATACTGTTGCAACAGGGATTAAGACTTCCACATATGGGCAGGGAGCCCTGGCCCCCCCACCTGTAATCCCAGTGGCTTGGGAAGCTGAGGCAGGAAGATCACATGTTCAAAACCAGCCCCAGGAAAAATGAAGCACTAAGCAACTCAGTGAAACCCTGTCTCTAAATAAAATACAAAATAGGGCTGGGGATGTGACTCTGTGGTCGAGTGCCCCTGACTTCAATCTCCAGTACCAAAAAAAAAACAATTGCTTTAACACATGGACTTGGGTAGACCATTCAGATCACCATGGGGATAGCCTCTGGGGTTACGAGCGGAGTGTTAGGATTTACAGAGGTAGTACTGTGTGTTTTATAATCTGGCTTTGAAGGTGGCTCCTGAGGATGATTTCAACAACAGTTTGGTGACAGTGGGGCTACTTTGAATGTCAGGGTCCTGATTTTTGTACACATGTTATTTGCTTGTTCAAAAACCAGTCCCTCTGGTTTCGTGGTCCTCCTTGGGCAAGTGCAGCGAGACTGCTGATGGACAATCTGTTGTCACAAGCCTGTCATCATCCAGTTTCCCAGAAGTTTAGGTTCCTTTACTATGCAGCCACCCCACGTCACCACTTTTGCGTCCTCTTCCTCCTCCCACTCACTGGCCTCTACTCCTGCCTGTAACTTCCTGGGTAGCGAGTCTGAGTGGCTGAGAAAGGGCAGAGCAGAGGAAACTCCCTGCCAAAGCCATTCAAAGACCTGGGTAGTCCCTGAGGACATTTTGCAGTTAGAGCTTAGGTCCCAGACTTTTTTTTTTTTCTTTTTGTATTAGGGATTGAACCCAAGGGGGCTTTACCACTGAGCTCCATCCTCTGTCACTTAATTTTTAATTTTTTTTTTTTTATTTTGAGGCAGGATCTTACTAAATGGTCCTCCTTGGGCAAGTGCAGCGAGACTGCTGATGGACAATCTGTTGTCACTCGGCCCGTCATCATCCAGTTTCCCAAAAATTTAGGTTCCTTTACTATGCAGCCACCCCACGTCACCACTTTTGCTTCCTCTTCCTCTAAATTGCTTAAATTTTGCTATCCCCATGGTGATCTGAATGGTCTCCCCAAGTCCCTGTGCTGAAGTTTTTTTTGTTTTTTGTTTTTGGTACTGGAGATTGAACTCAGGGGCACTCGACCACAGAGTCACATCCCAGGCCCTATTTTGTATTTTATTTAGAGACAGGGTCTCACTGAGTTGCTTAATGCTTCACTAATTGCTAAATTCCTCTAATTCTTCCACTAAATTGCTGAACCCGCCTCAGCCTCCTGAGTCTCTGGGATTACAGGCGTGTGCCACCAGGCTGTGTGACTCAAACTGTCTTAGGCCCACAAATATGTCTGGTTTGTACTCTGTAGTGTTTGAAGAACACGCTGAATGAGTTACCGACATGTGAATATTGAAGGCATTACAGATCGAAAAATCCAGATATCCAACTTTTCTTGAAAATTCAGAAATTCTGGAAACATCAGACCAGGATCCCTAAATGGCAATGAGCAGCTGGAGCTGTGCACCAGTGTCCCTTTAGAAATAATAGCAAGCATTTCTTGGTGTCGTCGGTGTGCTATTCTAAGCACCTTATATGTACTGATCCTTTTATCTCTCACAAAGACCTTTATGAAGTTGATACAATGATGATCCTCATTTGACAAATTAGAGAATAAAGGCAGAGAGATAAGGTGAAGAGATTGGACTCACTCAGGACCAATCTGAGCCTTTGCCTTTAGTCCCTGTGCCATATTGCTTCTCAGTGTGATCTGGGGACACAGGCTCTCTCTAGTTTATGACACTTCCTCCCCACGCCCCACTGAACCCCCACGCTGTGGCCAAAAGCCAGTTGCAGCCTGTCATCCCATTTACATGATTGCGCCTCTTAAACTCAGTCCACGTCATTCATACCTGTCTGACAGCTAGAGCCTTGTGGTCTGAGACCCCACATAGAGGACTGAATGAAGGAACCAGGTGGCACTAGTAAGTGGTGCACAGGGAAGAAGAGAGACATTGTCCACATTTCTGCTTCCATCCTGTCACTTTCTCTTCTTCTTCACAGCCCTCCCAAGCAGAGAGCACCCTCCAGATGCACACAGCCCATATCCACACCATGGGATATGCAGTTGGTGTCTACGACAATGCAACGGTGCCCCAGGTGTGCAGGAACGTCACTCCCTCGACACACTACGTCAATGTCAGAGCTTCCAGGGATGTCTCGAGCACTTCTTCAGAGGATTCAAATGATTATGTCAATGTCCCCACAGCAGAAGAGATGGCTGAGACTCTAACTCCTAACAACAGCCTGCCTGAAAGTCTCCTTGTTCTTTCAAGCGCCCAGCAGTCGGACTTAACTGAGAAAAGACACAAGGGCTGTGGGGATGCCAGTGACTGTACCAGCTTTTGGGCTCCAGGAACTAAGGACAGCGATCCACTCAGCGATGGGGAGGATTCTTCTCAGACCTCAAATGACTATGTCAACATGACAGGTTTGGATCTCGAGGACATCCAAGAGGAGTTGCCCTGGGTGGCTTTTCAATGCTGCAGAGATTATGAGAATGTCCCACCAGCAGATCCCAAGGGAAGCCAGCAGCAAACTGAAGAAGAAGTGACATCTTCAAACACAGACCATGAAGAGGGAAAGACAGATGGCCCGGGGACTGACATCCATCCTCTCACAAGGAATTCCCTATCTTCAGGGCACTGTGTATCCCCACTGAGTGAGGACTGTCAGATGAAACATGAAGAAGAAATGTCACACGAAGACACTCATGACTATGAGAATGTGCTACCTGCCAAGTTAGGAGGCAGAGACAGGGAGCAGGGGCCTGGTGCTCAGCTCCCTCCTGATGAATGAATACCCCGTTGCCCAGCTGGAAAGCCACACAAAGTGGTCTATCCTGTTGGCTCCTCAGCCGCTGAAGAGTCTCTAGTGAAGACCCTTGACCACCCTCGAACGTCAGTGGATTCCCTTGGTTAGATTAGCCAGAGGCTGAAAGGAGCAAGAAGCTCAAAGGCTGCCCGAAGGCAAAGGTTTGGGAAATCCAGGAAGGAATGCTTCTCCAGCAAAGTGCTGTTGTCTCTCAGGCCAGCCTAAGAATGTCTGCTGGAGCTGCCCTTCCCGACTGTTGGGAAATAGAAGAAGAGAGTACTTAGCACCCAGAGGAAGAGGGCTAATCACCTGCACCAATACCAGCAGGTGGCAAGGGTGTAGATTATTTTGTGATCCAGGCAGAGACCTAAGGAAAGGAGAAGTTGTTTTAAAAAAGTATAGACAACAAAATGCTGGTGAGGATGCAAAACAACGGGAATTCTCATTGTCACCAATGGGATGGCAAAGCATAGCAGCTATTTTGAAAAACTGTCTGGCGGTTTCTTATAAGGATCTAAATATGGGAGGCAGCCATTTCACTACCAGAAACTGACCCAAGTCAACTGGAATCTTACACTCACACAACAACCTACACAAGACTGTTTAATAGCAGTTTCATTAATAATTGCCCAAAAAACTAGAAATAATCCAGATGTGCTTCCACAGAAGAATGGATAAACCAATTGTGGATATTCAATCCATGAGTGGCTATGAGCCTGTCCATACTCAGCAGGAAAAAGGAATGAACCATTGGTTCAAATAACAACATGCTCTTAAATGCATTTTGCTAAGTGAAAGAGGCTTAGACTTAAAGAGTTACCTATTTGTAAGACATTCAGAAAAAGGCAAAGAAATAGGAATGGAAAATATGTCAGTGTGAAGAAAGGAGGCGCTCACTATGAGGACCTGCACAAGGGAATCTTTGAGTGACAGACTGTTCTACATGGTACTTTGGTGGCGGGTTTATAACTGTATACATTTATCAAAACACAAAGAAGCACATACCATGAAGAGGGACTTTTATTTATGTGAATATAAAAAAGATAATCAGGCTATCCTGAAAACTCAGAATATGACAAACAAATCTAGTTGTATAACAAATGTATAACATAGCCTCATTGAAGGGAGTGAGGGATTAAAAAAAAAACTAAACTTAAACTTGGAAAGCAATGTTTTGGCTTAAAATTTATAAGATTAAAATAAGAAAGAACTGTATACAAACAGTGCAGTATTGTTGGCAAATTGTCTTGCACAGATACGGGGTTGGCAATTCTGAAACTACTTTGTATACTAGGGTTGTACAGATAAATAAATCTACTGTTGATAAAGAAAGAGAGGTTTCTCACTGGCCCAGAAAGAAATGACAATGAGGTAGGGAAAGCTAGGAGGGACCCTGTGAGGTTGCATTAGAGTTGGCAATACAGCTTGAACGCTTGTTTATTTTAATAGGTATACAAAGAAATAAATATGTATACATTAGCGTATACAAACATATGTTTCCTAGTATTGTCCATTAAGAGGACCAAGAAGTAATGACACCCCAGCAGCAATGACCACACTCAGCACCCAGATCCTAGTTTCAAAATGCTATTCTCCAACAAAAGGAACCCAAGTTCCTTGGAGAAATGGCTAGTTCTAGGGCTGAGATGGAGAAAATGCAGAATGAGCTTACGTATCTTACAGAAAAGGAGCAGAAGAGAGAGAGAGGGGGAAGAGATGACCACATGTCAAAAAAAATGCACCTGGCAGGCATATTGGTAGCACATGCCTAAAATCCCAGAGACTCTGGAGGATTGCAAGTTCCAGGCCAGCCTGGGCAACTTAACAAGACCCTATCTCAAATAAAAAGGGTTGGGTGTATAGCTCAGTGATGGGGTACCCCTTGGTACAATCCTCATTACCAAGGGGGGAAAAAACCAAAAGATCCAACTAAAAGAGCTCCCAAAGACAAAGCGAGAACAATTTGAGCAAGAAAAATAAAAAAATTATAATACTGACTGAGTTCAATCCCTGGTACCCTCCCCACCAAAAAACACTGACTAATAATCCAAAGAACAAAATACATATCCATGAATGCATGACAAGGTGGAATAAATAAATTGGAGGAAAGGGATACGTTTTCTTTACAGGTGAGTTCTAAATAATATATGTAGAATGAAAGAAATAGAAAAATCTCCATTAAGATACCACAAAATGATTGCTACAGGCAAATCTGATGAATACAAAATTAGTGAAAAATACTTTAAGGAGAAAAAAGAAAGTTGCACATTCTCAAGAAATATTCCTCAGGGGATAGTAGAGGATAGGAAAGGCAGCAGAATACAACAGACACTAGTATGGCAATATGTAAATCAATGGATGTGTAACTGATGTGATTCTGCAATCTGTATACGGGGTAAAAATGGGAGTTCATAACCCACTTGAATCAAAATGTGAAATATGATATATCAAGAACTATGTAATGTTTTGAACAACCAACAATAAAAATTAAAAAAAAAAAAAAAGAAATATTCCTCAATGCCAGGGGTGGTGGCATACATTTGCTATTCCTGTGGGTCAGGAGGCTGAGGCAGGAAGATCATGAGTTCAAAGCCAGCCTCAGCAACTTAGTGAGGCCCTAAGCAACTCAGCAAGAACCTTCTCTAAATAAAGTACAAAAAAAGGTGGGGGGGCTGAAGTTGTAGCTCAGTGGTAGAGCACTTGCCTAGCATGAGTGAGGCACTGGGTTCGATCCTCAGTACCACATTAAAAATAAATAAAGACATTGTGTCCATATACAACTGAAAAAAGGCTAGGGATGTGGCTTGAATGGTTGAGTGCCCCTGGGTTCAATCTCTGGTACCAAAAACAAAACAAAACAAAAAAATATATATTCCTCAAATTACTGTTTGTTTGTTTTTAATGTGGTGCTGAGAATCAAACCCAGGGCCTCACTAATGCTAGGCAAGCACTTTACCACTGAGCTACAACCCCAACCCTTACTGTAGTTAGTCTTCTTTGCTGGCTCTTCTTCACTCGACTTCCTGTGTTGGAGCCCATAGGTAGGACTAAAGACACCATCTCCATCTCTCTCTTTTTTTTTTTTCCCTGTGGTGCTGGGGAGTGAACCCAAGACCTTGTGCCTGAGAGGCAATCACTCTACCAACTGAGCTATATCCCCAGCCCCCAGCATCTCCATCTTTAAAGAGAACGCATGGTGTGCTAAAAACTTGTCTGGGTCCTAGATACATAACCATGAATAAGACAGAAAACAACTCTGTCCTCAAGAGAACACAATCGAGTGGGCAGGCAGATAAGAACAAATAGGGTAAATAATTAACACACTGGGACAAGAGCTGTAGTGCTCGGAGGGAAATGAAACGAACAGGATCATGAGGTAGGGACAATGGGGAAGACCTGTTAGAATGGACAGAAAGGGCCTCTGAGTGGCCCATGCCATGAGTGAGGCCTGAAAAGGAGCTGGCCAGGTGAACTACTAGGGAAGAACATTCCAGAAGGAGCCACAACTACAAAAGCTCAGAGGCAGCAAGGGTTTCAGTGTGTTCAAAGAACTGAAAGAAGGCCATTGTGGCTGCCGTGTGACGAATGATGGGAGAATGTACAGACAATATACTGACTGCAATTTTTAAAGCAAAAATCAGATCTTGCTTAAAACCCTTAAATGGCTTCCTGCTGCAACTAGAATAAAACCCTGCCCAGTTTTCTGTGGCTCACAGAACATGCTTGACCTGGTGCTGCCTCCATCCTCCTTTCCCAGCAAAACACACATAAACACACACACACACATACACACACACACACACACCAGTATTTTTGACACAGTAGGTCTGAGGTTGGCTCTGAGTTTGCACTTCTAACAAGATTCCAAGCATTGCTAAACACTACTTGCTGGACTAATAAGAAGTTGCAGTCTTTTCTGGGGTTACTTTCTTCTCTTGTTTTTGGGAATCTCCATGATAACAGTATGTCCATGATTAGCCCTGGTTACTGCTTATACTTTGGTGGCCTGAGCTTTACCCTAAAATTCCTAGTCCTTAATAGCCTTTCAGATAACACTCTAACCAAGTCACTTATGCCTTCTGGCCTCTTCCCCAGCCATGGGCAACCAGACACCTGCTGGCATTTCTTACAATATATGGAATATATGGAAACATATATTCACTGCTCAATAGAGCTGGAAACCTGTCACAGAATTAGTGGGGTTTTTTTTAGTACTGGGGATTGAACCAGGGGGGCTTATAACTACTAATCCACATCTCCAGCCCTTTTTATTTTTTATTTTGAGGCAAGATCTTACTAAATTGCTTAAGGCCTCGATAAGTTGCTGAGGCTGGCTTTGAACTTGGGATCCTCCTGCTTCGCCTCCTGAACTGCTGGAATTAACAGGCATGCACCACTGCGCCCAGTTAGTATCAATTTTTTACCTCAAACCCCAGAAGTCCTGAAGGAATAAAACTACTTTACTGACTACTAAAGGCCTTAGTTTGGGCCTCTGTAGACATTGACACTTGTGAAATGAGAGAGAACACACTCAATCTTCATTCAGCCCAGTCAGGCTGTCCCATGTAAAGCAGTCTGGTCTCCATGTGGTAGAGCACAGTCACTTCATACACATACACTCTAGAGTTGCCACCTTCTGCCTCCATCTCAACTCCACCCTCAGGACGCACTATGCACTGTAAAAGGGCCTCCTTCTTAGGCCTTTGAAGGGAGTCTCATTCAGTGATCCCAAAAGCCATTTATCCCATTGGGAACCAGCTTGTCTTCCTGAAATCAAACTCTGGCTGAGTATTCCCAATCCAACAGACAGAGCTTTCTTCCCCACTCCCCGCCCCCCAGTACTGGGAATTTAACCCAGGGGTGCTCTACTACTGAGCTACTTCCCCAGCACTTTTCTAAAATTTGGAGACGAGGTCTCTCTAAGTTGCCCAGGCTGGTCTCAAACTGGAGATCTTTCTGTCTCAGCCTCCTAAATAGCTAAGAGTACAGGCCTGTGACACCATGCACTGCTCAGACATATTATTATAGTCTTAAATCTTAGTGGGGTTAGAGTTCCTGCTCCCTCTGTTTGGGGGGATGAGTCAGTTTCTGAATAAACCTGTGGCTATAGAAAGATAGAAGGGATTCCACTAAAATCTACCAACTGCACAGCTGCAATCCCAGAGGCTTTGGAGGCTGAGGCAGGAGAATCAAAAGTTCAAAGCCAACCCCAGCAATTTAGTGAGGCCCGAAGCAATTTAGGGAGACCCTGTCTCAAAATAAAAAATAAAAAGGGCTGGGATTGGGGCTCAGTGGCTAAGTGCCCCTGGGTTCAATCCCAGGTACCTAAAATAAACTTTAATAAATTAATTAATTTAATTTAACCAACTGAGCCCCACAAGCAAATAGATGTGTTAGGGACTGCTAACTGCTAAACTCTTCAGCAGTAGGTCAAGATCCTATCCAAACAAAAACGTCCTTCTGGGCCTCTGAAATACCTGGAAGGTGTTTATACTTAGTGAAACCTTGTCTCAAAAAAATAAAAGGCTGGGATGTAGCTCAGTGGTAGAATACACCTGGTTCAGTCCCCAGCATGAGGATGGGGCGTGTTAACATGCCACAGTATAAATGACAGCCATTGTTGACAGTTTCTGCCTTAGAAATGTTATGCCAGATTCGTGGGACCCCAATAGACCTCCAGGAGCCGAATCTGATGCAATCACACAAGAGTCTTTAGTGCAAGCTCAAGCCTGGACTCACAACCGTTTCCGACGCAGCGGTCCCAGGGAGTGAGTCCTGGTCCTTTGTTCAGTGAGATTTTATAGGTTTTGGGGGGATACTCTATGGGTCACAACATCACACAGCAAATCATTCCATACCGCGGGAAAGTCAAACAACAACTCTTAACATTGATTAGCACATTCACTGTCGGGAACAAGTTGGGTAGGGGTGATTGGTCAGTACAAGAGGGGGATTCGTTTGAACTGATTGGTTTAGGCCACGAGGGGTGTACGTGCTAAACTACATGGCTTCCCAACATGTTATCAACCACCATAAACTACTGGGGGGGTCATCTGGCATCCCAGGTATTTTCCCTGTCTCATGCTGATTGGAGGTTGCTAGGGGGTTGCTATGGGTCCTCACCTAGCCTAACTGAGTCAGGGACACCTGGCGCCTCAGACCTCTCCTGTTATTTACAGACAAACAACTCAGCAGGTGCTTAGGAGTGCTCTGTGGGTTTTTCCAAGGATAAGGGTCACACCCCCTTCCTTAGGACAGGCCTTGAGGTAGAAGCTGCTGTTATTTATTTTTAAAAATGGAGTCACATGAGTTTCTCAGAAACTCATCCTTCTCCCTAAATCAGTTTTCCTTTCAGGCTTTCCTTACTCATTCCAGGGCCAACAGCCCTACTCTTCACACCCAAATTTTCCCCAACTGCTGACTATCTGATATTAAGTGATACTTAGGGGAGGTCATTGTTTTGGTCTGGGCTCTGGTACTAGGCCCCAATAGACTAGATGGATCCAGAAGAGAGTCACTTGTCTAGATGCCATGTCATCAAACTGAACTGAGAAACAGGCCAGTTTTCGAAATAACAACCAACCCAACAGCCCAGTCAACCTGAGAGGGCATGATAAGAAAGTCCCCTGTGCTTTAACCCTGTAAGAAAAGTTAACTCAAAAATTGTTACTAGAGTCCTCGGCCAGAGGCCTGACTATGGGGATACCAACAAATCAGGTCCAGCCTCTCACTCCAAAAAGCAAATGGAAATGGTAATGGTAAAGAGAAAGAAAGGAGCTTTAAACTGTGTAGCCAACCAGGACGACAAGGGTACCCACATCTGTAGCCTTGTCTTTGAGGAACTGACAAGAACTTTGAGGTTTTATAAAAAAAAAAAAAAAGGGAATGAGGACAAAGGTTGGGGGTTGCATAGCTAGAGGATTTGTACTGTGGCAAAACAGGTGATCTTGGTCAGGCATGGTCTGGTCCATCGTTATCTCAGCGTTTCTCAACAGGGGACTTGTCTGTGATAAGAAAATATCTATTTTCCTGGGGGATAATTTGATGCATCACAAGATTTTATTGATCAAAGCTGTTGTTCCTGGAATCCAAGGTGACTCAGAGCAAAGGAAGCAGATGCAAAATGGAGACAGACACACAAGTTTTTTATCCTGCTTTTAGTGACCCATTAGACATTGCAGGCCTAAGGGAAGAGTCTAAGTTCCTGTTATAATGCTCCCTCTACCCCTGTCTTTGGTCCATTCCTCAA